TGTCTCGAGGTGAAAAAAGTAAGTGTGTCTTCGGGTAACTTAAGCTCTTATGCTCTTCTGGTTTAAGGGTCATTCTTACGTTAGTTTCATTAGGGAGGTAAGAGTGTTATAAAACTATATTCAGCCTTGTGTTCTTCTGCTGTAAGGGTCATTATACTCACTTCGTCTCGGGGCAAGAGTGTTAAATGGCATTTTGTCTCTGGGTGTTGAATGAGCTGCTGTTGAAATACAAAGTTGTAAATAGACTAATTGAAGGCGAATCGAGTGGGAGTGAGGAAAGTGAGAGTGAAGTGAGAGGGGGGGAGTAAAAATGAGGATAAAAGTAGGGAGAGAGAGAGAAGAGTGAAGAAAGTGAGAGTAAGGAGAGAGGGGAAGAGGCAGTAAGAGGGAGACTAAAGATATCGAATGTAAACAGAGAAAGAGCGAGAGAGCGATAATGGAGGGGAGAGAACGAGGGAGGGAGAGATAATGGAGGGGACAGAATGAGGAAAAAGAGAATAGGGAGGGGGAGAGAAAGATTGAAGGAGAAGAGTGAGAGGTAACGATGGAAGGAACTACAATAACTGATAAAAGAAGATAAAAATATACATAATTCATGCGAGAAACAGAAGCCATATAATAGAGAGATAATCTCCTTCTCTCGGTCAATCTCTCCATTAAACTTTCTCAGGAGATTTTGTCTCTCAAAATTTTATTCATCTTCATCCCTCAATCTTGAATGAGAGAAAGAGGGAGTGAGAAAGATAGAGTGAGAGAAAGATACATAGATAAAGTGTCAGAAGATATAAAAACTTTGAAACTGATAGAATGCTAGAAAAGAGACAGACAGACAGACAGACAGACAGACAGACTATCTTCCATACCGTAATTACTAAAATGAACACAACCCACAGTATATAAATGAGTACACAAGATACCGTCAATAAACACTACATCATTATAATAATTTCCTCATGCACTGTTCACAAATTATATTCATTAATGACAAATAATTCTCTTTGTTGTGGTATTGGTTGGATCAGCTGACTCACTCACTGCCCATGAATAAATTACAATGAACAGTGATACAATAGAAACGAGAACAAACGTGTATAGTGGATTCTACACTCGGTTTCCGTCCTAAGGGCCTCTGGTTCGATCCCTAAGGTACTTCCCATTTGCCTTAGTCTGTCTATCTATCTATCTATTCTGTTTGTCTATCTGTCTGTCTGTGTCTGTCTGTATCTGTCTGTCTGTGTCTGTCTGTATCTGTCTGTCTGATCGTTATGACACACAAACTTATTATTAGGAGTCAAGACGTTCACCCACTCCTCTTCCTCCTCCTACTTACCTATCGGTCCCTCCTTTCTCCCTTTCCTTCTTCTCCTCTTCCTCATATCTTTCCCCAATATATCTTTTCCTCCCACCACGTCCTTCCTCCCCCAGTATGATTTTCCTCCCCAACACAACTTTCCTCCCCAGTGTACCCCTTCTCCCCCTGGTGGCACCATTATAAGCCAGACATAAGGAGTTTCAACCCAGTTTATTTTTTCCTTCAAGAGCTGACGTGAAGCTGGACGTCTGATGGACTGCTTCTTAACTTTCTAAAATTATTTCTGCTATAGTGACCATTTTCCCGTTCATGATGATGGTGGTGGTGATGGTGGTGATGATGGTGATGATGGTGATGGTGGTGGTGATGATGGTGGTGGTGATGGTGGTGGTGGTGGTGATGGTGGTGATGGTGGTGATGGTGATGTAGGTAGTGTATTTTCCTCTCTCTCTCTCTCTCTGTTCCAATCCATTTAACTCCACCTCTTTCCATTATATATTTACGCAACTTTCTCCTCTTTGACTCTCTCTCTCTCTCTCTCTCTCTCTTTTTGTCTCCCTTTCTCCCTCCCTTTCATCATCTTAATCTCTTCCTCTATCCCTCTACACCTGCCTACGTAATCGTCCGTAATCTCTTTATGCTTCTCTTTCTATCTCTCTTTCTCTATTACCTTCATCTGCGTCGTTTTCATTCTCTTTTCTTCTCTTTCTCTTTTCCATTCTTTCGTCACCTCAGTTTCCACGTCTATTCCACACACTTCAACACACCCTAACACCCCTCCATTACACCCCAACACTTCCCAGCACACCCTAACACTTCCCAGCCCACCCCAACACATCCCAACACATCTCAACACACCCCAACACACCTCTAACACATCTCCTCTGCCTGGCTCTTAGTATCCAATAACTTCACCTTCTGTGCCACGGGATCTTCAGGTAGTTCTTGGGTGTTGGAGTGTCTGCCTGATGAGTCTCCCGTTGTCTGCCTCCACCACCACTAACTTTGACGACTCCAGGTGTTAGAGGATGGTAGTGTGTCCCTCCATGTACAGCCTTGGTGCCTCCAGGTTGTGTTTCCATTCCCATTCTTGAAGCCTTCCAGGTATAATCACTTTCCACTTCACATTCTGATATTTACTTGGTTTGTATGTATGTATGTATGTATGTATGTATGATTTCACTCATGTATTACGGCAGACTTTAAGAAATACTCTAGGTAGAAATTATTCACATTAGTGGTATAATTAATGATGGGAAATTTTCATAAATTATACGACCTTAATCCTCGCTATAATTAATTACTCTTATACTGTGATGAATTGATTGTCAAAAAATGTTAAGAAAAAAAAATATATAACTTCAACATCAACTCGGAGGCAATTAACACTACAGGGGTCTGAAGTTTGGTGTTGTGGGTCTGAAGTTTGGTGTGGGTCTGAAGTTTGGTGTGAGGCGTCTGAAGTTAGTTGTTGGGGTCTGGAGTTGTGTAAGTCTTGAAGAGAGAGAAGACAGTACATCTTCCATCACTTGCGTCAAATTCACTCCACCAAAACAAAACAAATTATTTCACTTAAAACACCTAACTGGCCCTAATGTTCTGTCCCAGACCTGATAAACAAACACCAATTACCTATAATTACCTTCACAAACAGTACTATCATATCCTACGAAAATAAAATATGATTTGATATAATTAACTATTTTTTTCACTGGTTCATGATTATATTTGTCTAGTCGTGGAAATGTAACCTAACCTAACCTAACCAAGATCATATAATGTTTATCACTTCGTCTCATTTTAATCTTATATAATTAATAGGTAAATAACTCGCTATTAATTTCTCTACTGCCAACATCCATCTCCAATTATCTCTGGCGATATTTCCTTCATCTCTGACTTCCTATTCCACTAATTTTGTTTGACTTTTATGTAATTTTTTTTTATATTTGATGATGGATCCTGATGTTTTATTAAGGCGATAATTAGTGTGTGTGTGTGTGTGTGTGTGTGTGTGTGTGTTAGCTCATGTAAAGTATATATAGTTACATGTACACACACACATACAAGTTCATGGACCACAACAAATGGCCCATAAACTAACCTTCTTGTCGCTAACTACCGCGCAACTGCAATTACTAGCGGCTAACGAGCTATGGAACTACCGATGGCTGGTTTGTGGAGGCAGGCGGAACTACGGGGTCATATTACGTCCTCTCATAGTGACGCGTGCGTTGTGTTGGCAGCCAGATGATCCTCAAGACAACCTGACCTAACCCGACCTGGCTTGACCTGACCTGACCTACCATCGGTGTCCCAGTTAGCTTATAACCTGACCTGACCTACTGTAGCCTGGCCCGGTGTATCCTAACCTAATCTAACAGAACATAAACTGATTTAAGTTAACCTGATTTAACCTAACCTAACCTAACCTATCCTAACCTAACCTATCCTAACCTAACCTTGCACCCACTCGACCACCACAACACCAGGCGGACCCCCACACACACCGAGTGAGTGGGGGTCCGCCTGGTTGAACTAAGACGTATAAATGGTTTTATTTTGAGGAAGTTGTTGTGTGTTGACGATGGTGGCTGCCTGAGTCACCCGGGAGATGGATGACAGGGCGAGGCGATAAAGAATAATGGAGACACAGAACAGGAGACGATAATGAAACGGACGAACTGTGTGAAGCAACTTGATGATGATGAGTGACACTGACAACAACAGAAAGAAAAATGGATAGAGTGATTGATAGATGTATATAAATAGAATGAGAGAGAGAGAGAGAGAGAGAGAGAGAGAGAGAGAATATTGATAAAGTGAAAACAGTAAAAGCAGAATAGCTGAAAATGACAACAAGGAACACACACACACACACACACGCGCGCGCGACTTAACAGCAGGGAGGGGAAGGACAGGTGTAGCGCCCTGGTCAGACTCCATAATGTAAACACAGGTAAGGTAAGAACAGAGCCTCCCCTCCATAAGGAAACGTTCTGGCAGAGAGAGAGAAGGCGTTAAAACGTTCATCTGACGCACAATCTGTAAACGTTTCATTGTAGGGTGGATGGGGGAAACGTCAGGCGCTACTGTTTGTTCGTGCTGGCAGTATTGTTTGCTTGTGATGGCATTGTGTTTATGTTACTCATCAAAACATCTAAATGGTTAAGGATCACAAGTATTTATCAATTTATTTTGTGAAATATATTAATAAATGTTATGATAATCGTTTTGAAATAGATCACTAAATGTTAAGGTAATCGTATTTTGGTGATATATACAGTGAAATTAATCCCTGTATGATAAAACAGAGGAATAATACACTTAACACAACGATATTTACCTCACATAAAACAGTACAGTAAATTTAAGTAGAAAGGCAAGTGTATAAACCTCCAGTCAGTCATAAATAACTGTAACAGCGTCTTGACACATATTTGACCTCTCACTCACTCACTACTTTATCTCCCACTCCTTCACTCACTCCTTTATCTCCCACTCCTTCACTCACTCCTTTATCTCCCACTCCTTCACTCACTCCTTTATCTCCCACTCCTTAACTCACTCCTTTATCTCCCACTCCTTCACTCACTCCTTTGATGTGATTAAGAATAAGGTGGAGCTGGCAGACTACGTTGAAGCTTACAGTACAGGAAATTATTTTAGTCAAACATAAAATACTCACGTTGACTGTTCCTGTGATGGTTGTGTTCTGATGGTTGTGTTCTGATGGTTGTGTTCTGATGGTTGTGTTCTGATATTTGGTTATTATCTCTGATAAGGTATGTTCTGTGACAGTTTGTCTCTGATAGGTCTGTTCCAGGCTGTGTTCTGATGGCACAACATTTCTGGGCATGACTGTCATTCCCAGTAGATTGTGTTCTGATGAAGCATGTCTCTGATGGTTGTGTTCTGATGGTTGTGTTCTGATGGTTGTGTTCTGATAGGTGTGTTCAGATGGTTGTGTCTCTGATAGGTGTGTTCTGATGGTTGTGTCTCTGATAGGTGTGTTCTGATGGCTGTGTTCTGATGGTTGTGTTCTGATGGCTGTGTTCTGATGGTTGTGTTCTGATGGCTATGTCCTCCCCCACCCCATCAAACAGATCCACACTCTCGCATTTAATTCCTGCGGGCTAAAAAGTACTCCAGTTTACCCTTTGGTTAAGTCGAGGCAGTTAAAAGACTCTTCCTCTCCTCCTCCAAGGCAAGAGATGAGAGATGGGAGATAGAGAGATTCCTAAGAGACTAATAGAGAAGGTTTATAGCGCACACAAAGAGATATCTCATAGGAAGGAGAGATATGAGATGTGGTATAGAGAAGTGTTTGTGAGGATTTTCTGGGAACAGTCAATAGGTCTCTCTCTCTCTCTCTCTATCTCTCTCTCTCTCTCTCTCTCTCTCTATCTCTCTGATCCTCTGCTTTGAGACTAATTTATATTTGTGATGAGAATGTGATATAAATTCCTGATCTTAGTGATATATACAGTTAATATGTATATGTGTATATGTAAGGTGTATATGCAATGTATATATGTAAAGTAAATAGTATACGCTGTTTTATTCGTTATTTCCCGTTATTGTTGTTTTTCGTGTTTGATATATAGTGAATAATTAAGAAAATACGAATTTGTTATATATTATTATTAGTTTTGTGTAATGGATATATATAATGATAATACGTCTTTTGTTATTCATTATTAACTGTTATTGATTTTTTCATTATACACACAATGTGATGAAAAGAGAATGTGGGTTTGTTATTCATTGCTAATTATTATTGCTATATTTCGTATCATCACAAGAAAGATGTCTTAAAGTGACTATACATTAAAACGTTTTCTTAAAGTGACTATACATTAAAACGTTTTCTTAAAGTGACTGTACATTAAAACGTTTTCTTAAAGTGACTATACATTAAAACGTTTTCTTAAAGTGACTATACATTAAAACGTTTTCTTAAAGTGAACTATACATTAAAACGTTTTCTTAAAGTGACTATACATTAAAACGTTTTCTTAAAGTGAACTATACATTAAACGTTGAGAATGGCGTCACCTTAAGTTCAGATCACGTTGAAAGGAACCGTGAGGAAGGCTGACGTTATGAGGGTATAAACTAACTCTTATGTCGAGGAAGATGGAGAGAGGTGGTGGAGGTGGTGTTGGAGGGTGGTGATGAGGGGTGGTGATGAGGGGTCTGATGGTGGTGGTGAGGGGTCTGATGGTGGTGAGGGTGGGGGATGGGGGGTGGTGAGGTGGTGGTGGAGATGGAGGTAGTCGTGGTGGGTGCTGGAGGAGAGTGGGAGAGGAAGGAGAAAGGGGAACTGGAGGAAGAGGAAGGAAAGAGGCACTGAAGGAGGAAGGAAGAAGAAGAAGAGGAGGAGGAGGAGGAGGAGGAGGAGGTTGCAGAAGACATCAATACTCACCCTTCATCCATCCTGTGTTCCGGCAAAGTCTTGAATCACCTCAGTAAACTTACACACACACACACTGGCTTTAATATGAACTAAAACCAAAACAACAACAACAACAACTACTACTACTACTACTACTACTACTACTACTACTACTACTACTACTACTAACACAAAAACTACAACAACAACCACCACCACTACCATTCCCCCCAAAATAAACAAGTACTGACTAATCAATACAAAAATATACGTAAAACTTTTCTTTTCTTCTCTGTAAAAAAAAAATCCTGTAAAGAATTATCCCTCCTGAGCCTCGCTAGCCCACGGAGCTAAACAGGAACTTATAATGAGCCGAATTAATGCTCGTGAAAGTCTGGAAATATTCACGTGATACAAGCTGTCACCTGGGCCTTCAGGTGTGGGTAGTGACGTGACCTGTTGTTGGGGATGACGTGAGGTGTTAGGGATGACGTGAGGTGGTGGGGATGACGTGAGGTGGTGGGGATGACGTGAGGTGTTGGGGATGACGTGAGGTGTTGGGGATGACGTGAGGTGTTGGGGTGTGATATGAGTTGGGGTGGGGCGTGATATGAGCTGGGGTGACGAGGTGGTGGGGGTGACGTGAGGTGGGAGGGTGACATGAGGTGAGAGGTGACATACGGTGGGTGTGACATGATATGGGGAGTAACATAAATAGTGATATGTGTTGCTGGGAGTGAGAGAGAGTATGTATTTGTGTGTGTGTGTGTGTGTGTAAGAGAAAAGAAAGTAAAAGAAAGAAAAGAAACAAGAGAGAGAGAGAGCACCTAGGCCACGGATGAATGATAGTCTCTCAGTAAACAACAATGAGGGTAAAATATTCCAGGAATGAACCTTGACTCAGGGAGGAGAGTGATGGGCATCGCACAGCATCGCACAGCATATTTTACAGCATCTTACAGCATCTTCAAGTATCTTACAGCATATTTGACAGCATCTTGAAGCATATCGTAGGTAGTAGGTAGATAGGCAGCTATCAAACAGGGAGGTACTACCGCCTGGGAAGATATTGGAAGCATAATGTGTTGTCTAATGGTAGACCCTGCTGCCATATGTGACCAAGTCCCAGGTTGCTGATCTAACTTTCTGCCTCATTTACACACAATTGCAGGGTCTCAATTGTTTCTCTGACAACACAACTTACATATATCGTTTCTCACTCTTGGTCTGATTTATTTTTGTTTATTTATGTATTAATTTATGGTGTAATTTATGTTTTTTTTTCTTTTGCCTTCATTGTCGTCTCCTTCCAGAGGCCCCGATGTGGGTCGATGGCCTGTGCCGGGGTAGGCTAATCCCCGTGAAGAAGAAAACAAATCACAGCATCTTACAATATCTTTCACAGCATCTCACAATATGTTGCAACCTTCCCACCCCGCAACCCCACCCCACCTGGCCCAACCCCACTGCACCGCACCGCACCCCACCCAACCCCACCCACTAGCAGCACACTGCACCCCACCTCAGCCCAGCAGAGTCACCTTAGCACTCCTTCCAGTCATCTCTAACTCTCACCTTAACCCGGATCGGGCAAGAGTTAACACAGCGCATGAGGATTACGTCAGCTGATGGGACTTCTAGCTAACACGGCCTTCACTAAAACGCTGGCTCAGAGTGTCCCATTAGGGTGAGAGAGAGAGAGAGTTGTTTCATCGTTATTCATATTGTATTTTTTTATTTATGTTGTAGGATAGAGAGAGCGAAAGAGACAGACAGACAGACAGACATAGAACCACAGAGAAAACGACAGACAGACAGACACAAACAGAAAGTTAAAGAGAAAGACATAAACAGAGCCACAGACAGACACAGTGCCACAGACAGACACAGTGCCACAGACAGACACAGTGCCACAGAGAGATAGAACAAACAGAGTAAAGTGGCACTGCATTATCTAGAATAAACTGAGGTCTGATGGATTATGTGCTCTCCGTCCCTCCCTCCCTCCCCCCCTCCCCGCCCCCCCTCGCCCCTCTCGCGCCCCCCTCCCCCCAGCTGCTCTCTAACACACTAATTTCCAGAATCAACACACTTAAAACAAACTCATGAAGGAGGAACCAATATGGCGACCCACTACTGTAGTAGAGAGAGAGAGAGAGAGAGAGAGAGAGAGAGAGAGAAGAGAAGATATAAGAAAGATAAGAGCGAAAGAGAGAGACGGATAAGTAGGTGAAATAGGGAAGAAGTAAAACACATAAGTATGGTAATTATATACAATATTCCTTACGAGTTATATATTATTATTATATAACCACAATTTAATACTAATTAGAAAGTATTTAAAAATCTATTAACAAAAACACTCATTAGTTAGACGCCATAAGAACCGTCATAGTAGTAATTAAATATTTAACGAGGAGGTACATTCCTAATTAGGTAGTTAACGAGGAGGTACATTCCTAATTAAATATTCAACGAGGAGGTACATTGATAATTAGGTAATTAAGGAACCTTTATCTACCGAACTCGTTATTGGTGGAGAGGAAGAAAATAACACGGCTGTGAACCAGGCCAGTGTAACCATTAGCGTGTTGATGAGGGTAATCTAGGGGAGTATTGGCACGCGTTTCAGAAGAGTGAGGTGTACCCTGCCGATACCCCGACCACGATAACAACAACAGACAGTGGTGGGGGTGAGGTGGGTGGGGGTGAGGGGGAGGGTGTGGGGTGAGGGGGAGGGGTGAGGGGGAGGGTGTGGGGTGAGGGGGAGGGTGTGGGGTTCGGGTGTAGAGCGTAGTGGCTAATGAACTGTAGTGGTGAGTTATGTTGTAGGTGTTTGTAATATTATGGGTGGGGGTGTGAGTGGTTCAGGTTTTAGTCTTCCCTCCACTCCCCACTCCACTCCACTCCACTCCACACCCCCACTCCACTCCCCACTCACTCCCACTCCCCACTCCAAGTACATATTACCATAGCTCAGAATAACCAGGTCCTCATCTCCTTATTAAGAGAGAAGGACTTTACTACTACACTCTTGTTGTTTCTCCTTGAGGCTCTCAGTGTGTGTGTGTGGATTGATACATACATACATACATATCATACTTACATACATACATACATATCATACTTACATAATGAAACAGGTCATGAAAGGAGAAAATTAAAATACAGGTAATAGGGTTTAATCTCAAGCCTTTTAGTACAAAATGAATAGGTGACGGTAATTGTGACGCAGTGTTATGGTGGCTCAGAGAGAGAGAGAGAGAGAGAGAGAGAGAGAGAGAGAGAGAGAGGGACTCCTTTGTATAAGATGCATCGAGGAAATAAATAAACTGAATTTATCTGACAATGTCTTTATAGATCTTAGGACACCATTGTGAAAGGAGATTTCCGATTGTCTCTTTTGTCTGCTGTGTTGGTCGTCTGCTGTGTTGGCTGTCTGCTGTGTTGGTCGTCTGCTGTGTTGGCTGTCTACTGTGTGGGCTGTCTGCTGTGTTGATTGTATGCTGTGTTGGTCGTCTGCTGTGTTCGTTGTCTGCTGTGTTGATCGTCTGCTGTGTTGGCTGTCTGCTGCATTCCAAGTTTCCG